GCTGTAAACGGACCAAACTCAGTCAGGAGAACAACTGAGATAATCCATCCACATACGAGGTTAGTCATTAATTACTGCAACAACATGGAACAGAGCCGCTGATAGAATACAGCATTAATGAATCAATGGTACAGAAGTGGAGGAAGCAGAAAATGAGTTAATAAAGTTTGATTATCTGACTGCTTTGTTTCGCTTAATGTGCCTTATAATCCTGTGCACCTTATGGTCCGAAAAATATGTATTTGACTTTTTTATTTGGCTCACTGCAGTTTAATGTTGCAAAGCACCTCTTTTAACTTCAGTGGATATATACATGGTTATGCTCAGGATATGTCAGCCCATTCTACGGAAATGCCTTTGGTCAAACTTTCAGAAGGAATTTGCATTTGCACGTTACATTTTTATAAAGCTTTAATGCATAAAAACAGCTGCTTGTTTAAGTGAAAATAAATGGATGTTGTTGTTTTTTTTGCGCTAGTAAAGTTGTGGAGTTGTATTTTGTCTCACATCAATTATATCGTCAGTTATATCGTTATCGCAAATTTTCAAATATATATCGTGATAAATATTTTTGGCCATATCGCCCTGCTCTACTTGCTATTAGTCAGAAAACGTGAATGAACCCCAGAGATGGAGCCTAAACTCATGGGCGGAGTCTAAAATATGACTGGCCAGGGGTCCGTTCTTCGTACCTTGCTTACTACATCCAAGATCAAATGACACATCCAAGATCAAATCATCGCGCTAACTTTGAGCTCGCTATTCCGGTGCTCCGAACACACCTGTTGTTGACGATTAGTATAGCTGGATGAAGTAATGTGAGATCACTGGGTGGCTTAACAGGGGCTACGCATCGATAGTAGAAACATTGATCGGCAACCCTTTGATTGGTCGGCGAAAATGTCGATGGAGCGCGCTCAGTTTTTTCGGCAGCAGAGCAAGAACTCTTGAGTGAGGGATTTCAGGAGTTTCAGAGTTTAATTAAAACGCAAGGGAACACTGCAAAGGCTGCAAAAGCAAGGAGAGAGGGCTGGCAGAGAGTTGCTGACAAATTAAACTAGTAAGTAATTTAATAATAATAATAATAATAATAATGATGGATTGGATTTATATAGCGCTTTTCAAGGCACCCAAAGTGCTTTACAATGCCACTATTCATTCACTCTCACATTCACACACTGGTGGAGGCAGCTACGGTTGTAGCACAGCTGCCCTGGGGCAGACTGACAGAAGCCAGGCTGCCATATCGCGCCATCGGCCCCTCTGGCCAACACCAGTAGGTGGTAGGGTAATTTATTATATTACATTATATCCTCTTTCACATTAGAGCCACAACAGGACCCACTAGAACATGGGAACAAGTAAAAGTGAAATATAAGAATATTCTACGGAATGGTAATATTTATCACTTATATTGCTTTTAGTCTCTTGGAAAGAGACCCTGAAATAATCTGTTTGTTTATAACAGCAACCAAGAAAAGGGCAGAGCAACAAAAGACAGGTGGTGGTCCTGCACCCCTCGTCAACAAGTTGGTTAAGTATCGGGAATATCGATATCTCTCTATGAGCACACTGTCGCGCTGAGCTAAAGGATCCTGTCTGTCCCGCAATATACGCTGGATTCTGAACTCTCCTTATCAATCTTGCACCTTCCGCAATGGGTTGCTCGCGTAAACGGACAGGACATGGCTGCGACAGGCTTCCCAAATCCACCTTCGCTTTTATAGCCGTGGTCTCTCATCTTGATTACACGAAGTAATTTACAATTACTACTCTGAAATATGAATTACATCTGTAATAATCACATACATGTAATAGAATGATTAATAGTACATTTCCCTTTTTTAGGAAATGACCTGTATGTATCTGTGTGAAATCAATAAAAGGATCAGGTGCTGCATTATCTTTAGTTACATTGATGTTATTTATTTATGGTGAAACAGTGGTGGAATATCGCTGTTGCTTTCGTATAAATGAAGCGGACATACCTGCGTGGCCGCGATCTAATCCTGTTTACATAAAGTAAACCTGCTCCCGAGCAGGTTTACGCTTACGGATCTGTTGCTATGACAGCAAGTCCCGGATGAGCTTCGGGGAACCGAACGATCCGGGATCACGCGAAATCGTCAACAATCTAATCCAGCTAACCTACTTAGCGAGGTACGAAGAACGAACCCCAGGTGTGATATCTGATCATGCTGTGTTTGTTTTCAGTGTTGTACAGGAAAGGACCACCTTTCTACCACGCCAGGTAGCAAACACACACACAGCGGTGATTCTATGGAGGGCGTATCTTAGGGAAGCATCTTTGTTTTCAAAGTATTTCACATATTTTCTGTTTTAAACTCGTGACCTTTGACCTCTCTGATTATTCTTAGGGTCCATAACTTTGTCTCCATCCTCTTCCTGTAGCTACTCTGTGGTAATAGAACGGGCTGACGATGCATTCAAGGCCTCACCGTTGCGCCCGTTTTCGTGGCGTTCTCTGGCAGCTCTCAGCAGGATTACCGCCAACGTGTCGAAGGTACACGCCATCAGAGCGATCCCGCGTGGACCGAACTCTCTGCTCTTGGTTTCCTCAGAGAACCGCCTGTGTTTGTCTTATAGGAGCTGATGCTGTGCTACATCATCTATCCAGCCGACCTATCAGAGGCTGAGCTGGACTCACCTGTGTGTCTGAGAAAGCTGAAGGTCCAGGTAAGAAACCAGAACTGAAACTATCGATAATAGGGGGGGCTAAAACAGCTCCCAACAGCTAAAACAGGATCAGATAAAGAAGGATTATTTTGATCTGTGACTCATGCAGAGCTGATGCCTTCTGCACACAGCAGCGGGGGCGCCGTGGCGACAGCGTGTTTTTTGGGACATTTTTTCATGACTGACTCTAAAGGCATCGAACTGGCATCTTTCACTCTTTAGGCAGATGCGTGAACCACTCATGGAGCTCCTCTAAGCAGGATAACATGGAGCTGGAATGACCGTGCCTTATTTTAGACGAGGAGAAGACAAAATGTTCAAACTCCCTGTCGTGTCTTGATGTTCAATCATTCAGGGGAGGAAATCCCAAAATGTTGATTCTGTTCACCTGGATGTAGTCAGTGGGAGAACCATCATTATCAGGTGACTTCTTCAGGCTCAGCTGACTGCAGCTCCCCGACCCTATGAACGGGCACCAAACTCATACCCGGCTTCTGCACCTGTCTCGCTTTGTGACTGTTAGTCTGTGCATTATAAATCAACTGATCATGAACCCAGTGTTAGCTCCTCCCACCGAAAACGGTACATCCAGATGAATAGAATCAACTTCCTGGGATTGTTGATGCTGATGTCCTTCAGGTCAGATATTCCTCATTGGACAATATGAAACCTCCGACCACATATCAGTGCTCTGACACTTTAAGTGAAGCCTCTGCTCTTCCTAAACTTCAGGCCTGTGAAGATTCAAGATGTGCACCGTTCAGACACTGATGTCATCAGATCCTACATGGTCCATTCCATGCAGCAGCTTGGTCGTTCTCCCTGTTGTTCTGACCGTGTCCCACCAGGACGAGACCCTGAATCACACCCCGAGATAGTCCTGGAGCCAGTGTGGAAGGACCCACGTGACCTTTGAGACGCTGCTGAACCTGAGAGCCCGATGAGCCGTAGAACATGGATGTAGAAGCAGTGGTTGCCATGGAGCTGAAACCCAGGGTTAGGAGCTGCTTCCATCCCAACATTTCGGTTTTTAGGTCAACTTCATGCAGCTCCACCCTCAGTAACAGCTGAGGTCATTAGCGTCCATCACACTGATCAACACTTCAGGAGGAGTGTCAGGGTTCAGTAAAGCTCCTGTTTCAGCAACACTGCCGTATCAACCTGTTATCAGGGATGTTAACATGTTAGCATGAGCTACTTAACTAAGAGCAATTACCCGTTAGCCACGTTAGCCATCTGCAAATAAAGAGTGAGACCAGAGCAGAGCAGCCAATCAGCCGAGCAGAGCTGATGAGGACTCATGTGACTCGATGAATAGAAGCTCCGCCTCAATGACCAAGTTGCTAGTAATGGGGGCGGGGTTTTAGGGTGCCTGCTGGTGAAACACTTTAGTGATGTAGTTTTGTCTCCACAGGAAGTGATCGTCAGCAGGTGGGTTTCCTCTAGAGAGCGAGCGGAGCAGGATGACATCTAATTGGCTGGCGTGAGACGCTTATGAGGTCATGAAATGGTGATGTCACATAAAAGGTCATGAGGCGTCGAATAGAATCTGTGTTTTCCGTTAAAAGACTTTAATGACTGAAGAAAGAAGAAATGTGAGCTCTCTGCCAGCCTCTCACCCTCACCTGTCCAGCTCCATGACAGGTGGTGATCAGCTGAAAGGTGTCAAGGAACGGTCATTCACTGACCTTTGACCCCAGGCCTTCAGGTACATGATTGGACCTGAATGCCTGTGTTTGAATGAAGTTCACACTCTGAGTTTTTACATGCTTTGATGAAATGCTGCCATACCTGTGCGTTGCAGGTGACTTTTCTGTTTCTAATAAAGGTGAACACACCTGAATCTGCCTGTTTGTTGTGACTTCTGTATCACTGCACCACAGCACACTCATCATTTCCACACAGCGATGGTTTGTTTGAAGGGTTTTATGTTCTGACCGTGCAGATCAAAGGACGTAGAACCTCTTCGAGAACTCACGTGAGAACAGGTGTGACTGAGTGTCTTTAAGTCTTCATCGTGATGATGATGAAAGCAGGTTCCCTCTGCTCTGCGGCTCCATCATGGAGCTCATTTGAATCTTTTCTTTTGGTATTCATCCTTTTATTTCCATTCACATGTTTTGTGATCATGAGAGATTGTTGCAGCTCTTCCACGTGTGGATACTGTTGAAAGGGAGCTGACGTCGTCATATTTTTGGATTGGGTAGCCTAGAAACGGATGGAAATAATAAAGACATTTTTATAGTACTTTAGTATTTTGAATTCTTGGCTGCGGTGTTTGTGAACGGCAGATTCAGGGAGGCGTGTCCCGAGCGAAAGGTGTCGCCCTCTGATTGGCTGTTTATTAACGTGGTCAAAGTCAAACTGCTTCAGTTTGTCTCACAGTTTTTAGTTTCTGTAACTCCGCGGCTGTTTTGTTTTGATCTCGCTGTATCCAGATCTCGCGAGAACACTAGCCCTCCCGTCGTTCGCCATTATAGCTAAGAGAAGCGTCCCCCGGACGAGCACCGGAGAGGCTCCGTTACCCGGACACAGACACGTTTTGCTCGCTGACACCCGCCGAGCCACTCTGCATCCAGGTAAGCCCGGTACTGGCCTGTCCGCCGGGCTTCAGCCCGACTCGGAGCCCGCTAGCACGGAGAAACGGCGGAAGGCCCGCTCCTGTTAGCATGCTGAGCTTGCTGCTTGCTGTGGAGGACTCAGGTGACACTCACCTGGAGCCTCCCGGCCGAGCCCGCGCAAACACCGGACTCACCGATGGTGGTTTTCCGGCCTGGGGGGGGGGGGTCACTGAGCGCGTGTTCACCTGAGAGGCTAACGTTAGGCTCACAGACATGTGCTGTTCACCTGTCTGAGTCATGCTACGCTGAGCCTCCGGGAGTCCAGGTGTAACGTTTACCTGCTGATCCCGTCATCAGATGATGTTTTCTACACTTTAAGTAGATTCTGACAGGCGTAACGTCAGACACATGTGTCGCCAGGTATTTTTGTTTACCTGTTTGGTCACCATGGTAACTGATACTGATAAGCTGGTAATGGATTTAACTTGTACCTATTGGACAGCTGTGACAGGTGATTAAACTCTTTATCTCGGCGTGTGCATGTGTAGGTGCGCAGGTAGAAAGATGGCAGATGACCTGGACATCGAGGCGATGCTGGAGGCGCCATACAAGAAGGTGAGAGTCTGTTTGTCCTTTGCTCATGAGACTGTCAGCCGAACTCTGCTGCTCCACCCACTGCTGCTCACCTGCAGAGTTCTGCAGAGTAATTGGTCGCGCAGCGAGCTGGAAAATGAACAAAACTATGTCAGCTCAAAGTTCATTTGTAACTCCTCCTTCACCTACTGGCAGCGTTAAGGCTCTTTGACATCACTTCCTCTCTGGACCTTCCACAGGGATCTAGACTGACACCAGGGCTGCGTTCCAAAAGTCCATCCCATCTCCTATTCCTAACCACTTTCACTTTTCCGTGTTGAGGACTTAGGAAAAGAGAGGAGCCGTGCACAGAGAACTGAAATGACCTCACGCTCTTCTCTCATTAACAGCGTGGCGCCGGATGTCTGCCATGTTAAAACTGCAGACGTGCAGACAATGGACTACAAAATGTGCACCTTACTTCGCCACAACGTGTTGTGACCCTGATGTTTTATGGAGGTCATAGAAATGGGAACAGCCCGTTTAAAAATGCCCAAAAGAAAAAGTCTGTGAGACAGAGTTTACTGCAAACTGCTCAGACTAACAGTGAAAGAGTCCCGCCTTGTTTAATAGAGTAGATGGAAATCGGATGAGTGCGTGGGCGGCTCGTACAGTAACATGGTAAGTGGGACGGCTCGTGATCAGACGGTAAATGGCGTTCCTGTACTTCTGCATATCGTCCAGGTCACCTGTTCACACAGACTTCAGTTTGTAATGATGCAGCTCTCCTGTAGATGAATCCCGAGCTCCACCTGAGTCCTAATCCTCAGACCCTCAGACCTTTGCACAGTGCTCACTGGTTTCTGTCACAAGAGTTATTTGTTAAATCCAAAGCAGACTGATTCTCCTTCAGCCTCCTCTCGTGTATCTGCCTCGCTGTTTTCAGAGACAAACACTTGAACCTGAGCTCACACTGGATTATTTTGGTTAGCGGGCCTGCAGCGCCCTCCCTCGCCCTTCCTCGCCCTTCAGATATTTTCCTCAACATGAAAAACCTCAGCTCAGTTCAATTCCACTTTATTTGCAGAACACCAGCAGTCGTATACAGGTGCTGTAAGGTAAGGACAGTGGCACAGAGACGCGGCCCCCCCCCCCCCCCCCCCGTGCACACATGTGGTGACAGTGGCAAGGAAGAACCTTTCAACATGGAAAACCTCTGGCCGCTAAGCCCCTCCCCCTGTCTCCTCTCTGATCTTCACTCATGTCACGGTCGAGCCGTTACGTTTGTGATTTTCCTCCGTGTTCATACATTTTTGCGTCGACCAATAAAATGTCACCGTTTTTTAACGCTGGGTTTCATTTGCTTAACATTCACCGTTGTTTATAAATGATGATGAATATGAAGACGAAGCACAGCCCGCCTGCTGGCTGCTGGTTCAGCTGATACGTGATCATGTGACCAAACACTGCCTGAAATCCGCTGTGGCGCTGTGAGCAGCAGAGCGCGGCTGACCCTGATGATGATGTTGATGATGACGCGTCCTTCACATAATTAAACGCACATCTATCTCTCTTTGTAGACTTGCCTAACGATTTCTCACCTCTGCTCCCCTGAAAGCCACTGTGATCTGTCTCACTCAGAAGGTAGTAAAAGTCCCCATCATGCATTGCTGTACTCTGGTGCCCATGGTAACATGACTGTAGTTCCCTTGGTTAAACTGTCACCTGCTTCTGGTCCGACCCCCTCATCCCGACCCCCTCCACTGGTGAGGTAGTGCAGAGGATTCTGGGAGATGAAGTCGAAGAGTTAGCTTAGCTTAGCGGGGGGTGGTCAGGACGTGGGGGTGGGTGGGGCCTACCTGTGTGCAGGTGAGCAGCAACGTTGCTCTCTGCCAGAGGGAAGCACCGCGATTTAGAGCAGCAGCTCTGCAGGAAGTGCACAGTGTGACCTTGCACAACACAGGTGTGACTTCACACAGGTGTGCAGCTATTCAGTTTAATCAGATATTATTTATGTAGTCCAGGTGAGGGCGTGTCCTAAGCTCTGGTTCTGGTTCTTGGCTCTGAGTGACTAATGCCTCTTTTCCACTACTACCTGCTCCACTCAGCTCGTTTTCTGTTGTTTTCCATTACAAGTAGCGCCTCGACGTGTTGCTATAGAAACGTGGCCGAAAGTCTCGTAGTGTCATTTGTATGTGACACGATCAACGTAACAGCGGAGGATGGCGTCCTCGCCGCTGCACGGCGGGATGGTTTGTGCAGCGTTGTCTGGTTTAAAAATATGGCGCGTTTGATTTTTGTGTGGGAGACGCTCTTGTGACTCATCGAGTGATGCCGCTCACTGGCCAATTGCTGGCATGCAGTCTGATGACATCACAGTTTTGGATCTGCTCTCCTGGATCCCCGGCCAAGTAGGTATTAAAAGAGTACAGTACCAGGTACTTTTTTGGTACCAGGTACTTGCAGTTCCTGGAAAACCCTAAAACCCGAGCGAGTAGAGAAGGTGCGAGTGGAAACAAGGCTGTAATCCTCCTGTCTGCTTCAGGGCGTCACAGGAGTTTCACACACCTGAAGAGCAGCTGGACTTTGGAGTGTGTGTGTCTGACACACACACACACACACACACACACAGCCCCTCCCCCTCCTGTTTGAATGACGCTCATTAAACTGTTTATATTTTCTCCTGTCCCCCCCACCCCCTACACTCCCTGACACCACCTCATGCTGTTCTCTGTCGACCCCGCTTAGGAGGACGCCAAAATCTCGAGCCCCAACGGACAGGACGAGCGCTCCAAGAGGTATTCACCTGCCTGCGCATCCACAGCCAATCATCTGCCTCCTTCTCCTCCTATCCCAGCATCCTCCTCTGTCACATCAGTCCTCTGCATATCCTCCTTCACCTCCTCTTCTCTTCCTCCTGCTTGGCAGCTCCATCTTAGGACGGCGTGTTGGCGCCACGTCAAGAACAAAATTGATCATTTTGAGAAAAAAGGCGAAATGTGGAGATGACTATTGTTTCAAGACGGCCGCTGTAGGCGCTACACAAAGATGAGCGAGACAAACTCATCAGCTCTTATTGTGATGCAACATCCATCCCATTTACTGCGCCAGGCTGTAACCATTGGTAACCGTGCATCTGCACCTTCTCTTCAGCGTCCTGACGCCGATCACCACGCCGCGTCTGTGCGCTATAGGAGAAATCACTTCCTTGTTACTAAAACAGAAGTATGACCTCACGACCCTGGAGGCAGTTTGTCCTGAAACACCAGCACATCTCCACGTTGTCTTGACGTGGCCTTGACACGCCGTCGTACCGTCTTCATCGTTTGTCATCCAATATATCCGCTCTCCTCTGCACGTGTGCAAACCATCTCAGACTGAAAGCGTGACCGTCGGGACGTGTTCTGATTGGCTGCCGTGTGTCTCGCAGGAAGAAACGCAGCCGCAGTCGCAGCTGCGACAGGAAGCGCAGCCGGAGTCGAGACAGGAAGAGGAGCCGGAGTCGGGAGCGCAAACGTAGCCGCAGCCGAGACAGGCGGAGGAGTCGTAGCCGCAGCAGAGAGCACCGCCGCAGCAGAGAGCGCGGTGGGCGCTACAGAGACCACCACAAGCAGTAAGTTGCTTCCTGGTGTTTTTTTTTTTTTTTTACATTAAAAGCTAACACACAGAGTAGGGCTGCCACGATTAGTCGACTATTTAGATCGTCGACGTGTCGTTTGAAGCTTTGTAAGATCCCAGAAGACGCAGGAATAAGTAGCAGGATTTAAGAGTGTAATAACGGACTGAAACAGAAGATGGCAGCACTGCATGTACAAGGATGCCAGCTGCCGTTAAACCCCGAAGAAGAAGAAGCAGCTGTGTCCAAATTCAGGAACCGCATCCTCCTGTGCCCGCATTTGTAGGCCGATTACGTTACAGCGACACGACGAAGATAGTCCAAATTCGAAGACTCCAACAAATGCGCCCTTCATTTCAGCAGATTTGAAGGATGAGTCAGGTGTGTCCTTCGTGGCCCAACCTATCCCAGAATTCATAGCGCGGCCCAGCTCAGTTTCCAACAATGGCGGCAGCTAGTTAGTTTTAATATTACTCTCATTATTCTTTCTGGGTCACAAAATAAACGTTTAACATATGTTCAAAAGCGCTCCGACGTTTTCGGAGACGTCTGTTACCCACTAGCTCGATAGCTAGCCGGGGGCTAGGCTAACTAGAGCCGTGAGAACACCGGACTCCCGGCAGATCGTTTTCAAACCCACCGCCGTCTTTCACTTAGATAACTTAAATGTTATTGTTTGGCTTTTTCAGTATTTTATTTGTTCCTGAGTAAATCTGTTTGGCTGAGATTAAAGTTATAGTTTTTACACAGCTGAATAAACGTCAAGCAGACAGCTGATTATCAGAAGTGTGAGATGCTCCAGAATTTACTCCGGTGTCCTGTTATATTTTAGATAGCAAGGAGTTTATTAAACTTCACCGAAACAATCTGCAAATTTCATTAAACTTTAATAAACTATCATCTTGTCTTTATTTTTAGTTAGCACAGACCTTAAACACTTAAAGCTGTAAGCTAATGATAGTTATATAAGAGCAGATGCTGCTGGTGCAATAAGCTGTACGTTTTACTCCAATGGATGATGATCTGATTAGTCGACTAATCGCAAAAAATAATCGGTGACTAGTCGACGATCAAAATAATCG